CCCGCCCCAGCCATAGGCTCGGGCAGCCTGTGGCCAGCTGATGGCACAGCGAGCCCTGTGTTCCCAGGGTTCTCCTGCTGCCCTTCCTGCACCCACGGGTGGGGGTCATCGGCCTGGGACCTGGCGGCAGTGGGGGAAAGACCCTGAGCTCCCCTGCAGCTCATGGGGACATGCCACCTCCACGCTGCAGGGCTGGGGATGGCACCTCTGGGAGCAGGGTGCTCACCCATGGGTGCTCGAGGTCTGCTGGCAAGGCAGCTCTGTTACAGGAACGGGTAGACACTGTGATTTGGAGATAAAGCACCGGTTTGTGGGAGCTCCCCCATCCTGAGGGGTTCAGTGTTCACTGCTGTGGGAAGCAGCATGGGGTACACACATGCATATGGGTGTATGTATATCTAACGCATGTCTGTATCCACATATACATATGGCTGTGTCTGTAAACAAAGTGTTTCATTAAAGCTGAAAGTGTGTTTAGCTGCTGAGTACAGATGTCTAAGTTCTCACTGGCTGGTGAGGCGGGATGGGGGATCAGCTCCCAGGCGCCGGGAGCTGCTGCTGGTGTTGGATGAAGGACATCCCTCCTGGGGCTGCCCGGGTCCCTGTGCACCCATGAGCAGAAAGCTGCAGTCTCTACTCAGGGCACTACAGGAACAGCTGCTGTTCCAAATGCTCAGGAGCTGTAGGCAGAGGCTTGGACAAGGTTGGATTTTGCAGACTAGCACAGATAGCGACGTGAGCCAGCTTTACACCAAGACCCAGCCTGTCCTTGACAGTCACAACAGCACAGCCTAGCCAGTCCTGTTCAGAGTAACTGCTTTTCTGTAGAGCTATTTCTTATCACATAAAAGAGCCGAATGTAAGACGTGTCCTTTGGCCTCCCCTCCTTTCCTTGCTCACAGGCCTGACGGCAGCATCTTGTCTTCTTGTCTCTCAGTTCTATCACGGGCAGCTGTAACTGGTGACCAGCTTAGTTTGGTCTTTTAAGGGGAATTTACTGATCTGAGCATCCTTCCCTGACACATTTAATTCCTTCTTCTCCCTACAAAAATTTCAGCAGCAAAAGCTTGATTCGTTTGCTCTGTACTTGTTGGCCAATATCATACTCAAACCTTCTGCTTCTTAGTAGTATTCTGTTTTTTTTTTTTTTAAATGCATCCAGCTTACTATAAATAAACACACTCACAAAGCACTTACTCCTCAGCAACTAGTACAAAGTAAAAAGCCACAATGTACTGCAAACAGGATGGTCCCTCTCTTGGTTTTAGGAAGCCTACAAAATAGTTAAATAAAGACTACTTCTAATCACTTAAGAATGTGTGTCTACGGAAATGAAAGAACCCTTGCAGCAAAACGTGGATGGCAGATCCCCTTCCCGAATTTTCCATGAGCACCAAACCAGTTCACACAGAGCATATGCACACCAGCTGCTGTTTTTATGTCTTTATTCTCTGGGAGAGAAGTTGGTGGAGCTTATGCAAAGCAAGGAGGACAACCCTACTTTGAGAATTGTTTGTTACGCTTCAGGGCTTTGGCGGCTGATGAATTCCTGGAGCAGAGCTTGCACTTCTCCTCGCCGACTCATCTGGGTTGCCTTGCCCTGAAAGCGGCCTCGCTTCCCAGCTCCTTTGCCTCCCAACAGCTCTGCCACCCTGCAGTAACAACAGCACAGGCTGAAGGACACTCACTTGCAGAGACGAGAGTGGCCTGACCTAACCTGCTCCAGAGAGCAAAGAAGGATCCATGCCCTCATTATACTGCTCAGCTGCTTACTCATTAGCACTCTTACTAGTTTTAAAGAAACCATAGAACACGCTACCTGGGACCTAAGTTCTCAACTGCTTCAACAGGTCCAGCTAGAAGAAAGAGTCCTGCTTCTTTTTCATCTCCCACAGTCAGGAACAGCAGGGTTTCCTGTGGACAGATCTTGCTCCAGAGTGACCAGTGCCCTCCTCGTGCAGGAAGAAGACACTGGTCACAGGACCCGTCCAAAGATGCAAACAATTCAGAAGTTCGTGTGTTGTTACTGAGACAGAGGCTCAATTTGAAGAAAGTAAAAAGGAGGGCGGCTGTTGAACCTTTTATGCTCAATCATATGTTGTGGGGGGACAGAACAGGTACTGGGGCATCCTAAGTTAAAAGGACACAGTGGGCAGTTGGACTAGATGATTGTTGTAGATCCTTTCCAACTGAAATAGTCAAGTCTAGTTTATTCTATTCTAAAATAGCCAATGAGGTTCTGTACAGCTCTTTTGGAGACAGGCTCTCCTCCAGTGCTCTGAATTATCACTGTTGTATTTCTTGACTGTTGAGGATACACCTGCAGACTGAGGCTGCTGGGGACAATAACTTCATGTCACTTTTGAAAGGCAACAGATCTGTAGCTTGTGACTAGGGCACAAAAAAGAAGCCTGGCCCTGCCTGGGCTATAGCCTGAATGAAAAAGCCAGTGGTGTCAGGTGACATCAGTGACTCACCTCTGTCCCAATCTCATTAGCGATGATATTCATAAATTCCGAGTCACCTTCTTTCCTGTATGGAAGGGTAAAAAAAACACCAAAACAACACTTCAGAAAGAAGCAAAAATCTTCTCTAGACTCAAAAATATCAGTCAGAAACTAAAGGCCTGATCAGGCATGGTGTTTTGGCCTCTTGCTGTTAGGACAGAGATTGATTTTTTTCTGTATATCTAAACCCTGACTGTGTATTCCTGTGGACATATTAGGAATTACTCAGGTGTTTATCAAGGAGGAGGAGCTCCTCAGTTTTATTTGAAAATATCAAGGGCAGAGATAAATCAGATAGACACAGTTATTTCTTAGCTATAAAACCAGAAGAATTCATTGACTGAATTACTAACACATCCCTTTCATTACACAGCCTTCCGGCAGGCAATTTAATATTCTCTTCACCTTGTTTATATTCCTTGAGAAACAAGCCTGAATAGCTGCCAGAGAGATGCAACTGCCATAAAACGTGTAAGATACCATCTTCCCTTTTCCCTGAACTCCCTCATACCTGTGTAACACAAACAGCTGACTCTGAGCGGGTTTGCTCTTGAAGTCCCGGGCTATCAACACAGCGATGTCTCTAAGCAGGTTCAAGTTATTCTGAAAGAAAAGCAAATAAACTGCACTGCAGATGGAGAAGTCAGAGTGAATGCTCAGCTGCGTTCCCAGAGATGGGAGCACTTTTCATAGCATCCACAAAAACTGGTATCTACGATTCGATTCCCCATTATCATGACTAAAGCTCAGGTCTAAGGGAAGCAGCCACAATCTGCTTTTCTCAGCCACCCTCGTACCTTCTGAAGCAGTTTCACAGAACTCTGCAGTCTCTTCACAGCCTCCACATGCTCACCCGGTCCATTTCTGAAAGAACAAGGAGAATTTGGATCGCCACTCTGAAGGACAAAGAAAGGATTTCTGAAAGGAGCAAAAGCAGATAACAGCATAAAAAAGCATCACGTAAATGTACCCTGAGGTTTACGTGGCATTTGTCAGAAGGAATGGTAAAGATGGAATAATCAAAGTGGAAAGGGTATTACTTGAGCAGTGAGGTCAGAGCCTTCTCAGTGCTGTGACTCTGTTTGATTGACTTCAGCACTCTGTTTCCTGCCAGGAAAACCAAGTTGGTTTTGTTCTTTTTCCCTTTTTCTGTGCCAAGGAGTTTAATAACCTTAAAAAGAAAATCACCCTGGTCAGAAAAGAACAGTACTTTACTTATGGTGGTCAGTTCCTACTACAGTATGCCTTGTTGTGAATATTAGCTCTCTGCCAGTGAAAAATTGATTAAAATCATCCATAAAGTCAACATACAAAAAAAAAGGATGGTGATACAGTGGAATTAATACAATTCTCTAGTCATGGGCTGCACTCTGCAGTGCATCTGGATGTCTCTGCTGGGATACAGACTCCAACAAATGACTGAAAAGACAGAACACTTAAAAGCAGCTCTACAGCTTCATCTCCATCTCCCTGAACAGAAGGATTCATGTCAAACACTCAAAAATACCAGAGCTTTAAGCAGAGGGAACAAATGGCCATCAACCCACCCAGCAGTGCACCACCAAAGCGGCAGTACACCACGTGCCTTCCACAGAGGCACCGCAGGTCAGAAAACATCATTGCTACAGACAAGGGCTGAGTTCTGTCACAAGGAAAGGAGCCTGAGTGACTGGACAAAGGCTGCCGACCTGAGCGCGGCCCCGTCGGGGCTCACACAGCACAGGGCTTCCGCCACCCCCTTTTCCATCGGGACAATTTCCAGCAGGCCCTGGATCTCAGGGACTTCTGCTGTGCTTGGTCTAAACGTGTGGAGCTCCTGATGGCAGCTCAGCTGCAGCCCCCACCTGCAAGTCACTCAGGTTGGAGACATGAGTCCCACAGCACATGTTGGAGTCTATGCCTTCGATGTCAACAACTCGCACTGGCCCTGCGTGGTCATCGGGCAAACCACGGCTCCTCACCTGGCAAAGGAAGGACAATGGCAATCAAGGTGATACCCAGGCCACAGTTATTTTGGTCCCATGGATGCCATCAGTTCTCTCCCCACCACTCACTGTTTCAATCTCAGGGTCATCTGCAGCCAGTTCCCGCACCATCACAGGTACCCTCTCCCGGATTTTCTCATTCACACTCCTCTCCAGGGTCTCAATTTGCTCTGCTGTCATGGAGGGGGTGTCCAGTTCAATGACACTTCGCTGACGACCCAGCTCCCTGCACCGATGAAGAACATCTGCTGCTGTAGCTAAGACCAGCTAGAAGGTCCCTCTGTGCAGCCCTAAGTGCCATCCCACTGCTGGGAACGTGGCGACTGAAACAAAACACACTTCCTTCCTTTCCCTGTTACTGACAGAGCACTAGATGCACACCAAACACTTCAAGAACAAGACAGAGAAAATATTTCCACAGCTTCTTGCCAGTTCAGTCACCTTGCCCACCTTGCCCAGGCCAATCTGAGCTCGAGTGAAACATCCTGGGACAAGCTGCTTTTGGTTTACCAGCGTTCAGCTCCTCACGGCCCAGCACAGTAGCAGACGCCAAACAAGACAGGTCAAAAGGAACCTTTTTCCCTGCTCACCATGAAGTTGTCTTGAATCCAAACATCTGTTCTGCAATGGCAGTGATGAGGTGCTGCCCTAGAAGAGACGTGCAAGCAACAGCTTTGAGTGTCGCTGGACACGGGAAAAGAGATTTCCAGTCAGACTGTATTTTCCTGTTCCCCGTGACAGCTGCAAATGCCCAGGTAGGTGCTTGGTGCTACGGGCCTTGTGCTGCTGCTGAGGAGCAGATGGAAGGGACGGCCATGGCCTGGCGTCCCAGGAGCCCCCGGCGCGCGCTGAAGACCCCGAAACGGCTGAACTTTTCCCTCCCGCCCCGTTCCCGGTGTGTTTGTGTGCGAGCCAAGGGGAGGCTGCGGGGATGGGCTCTGC